TATCGCAAACAGACATGTAAATATAAAAAGTATATTAGCAATTGTAAATAAATAACAGAAAAACAAAAGAACGAATAAATAAATAACTTTCATTTGATCAAACTATTTAGTAACTGGCAACACTGAAATCCTATCAAACCTTCTTTACGGCCAAATCCACAAAATGTTCGACTAAGCACGTCTTATTGTCATTATATACGGTTCAAATTGGATTGAAAAATAACAACAGAAGCGGTTCTAAAGTTGTGTACACACCTAGTCCTTGCATAATATATAAAAATAAAAACCAATAAATAAAGTCCCTCGAAGCCTTAGTGCTGTAAAGATTTTGATGCAGTTTTCATTGATAAATATAAATTAATAAAAATGAAGGATAAAAACAAAACATAAATTAATTGTTGATAGAACTATATTTAATTAAAATGGAATGGATAAAAAATATTTAAGTAACCTAAACCAGAGGATCTTATAAAATTTTGCGCAGAAGTTCCTTAATATAATGTAGATAATTACAAATAAATTATGTTTAGAAAATCCTACAGGATAAAATAGATTCACATACTGCACAATAGGGTGGCAGAGTGGATAAAAATCCACGGGCCAGGAAGAATCTACCTTTTATTATACAGTTTTTATAAAAATTGTAATTACTCATTTAAAAATTAACTCGATAACATACACGAATTATAAAAATAAACTATTAAGATTTCAACAACGTTTTTTTTTTTTATTTTCAAGTAAAACGAAAAATAGACAAATTAATTATAATAGTGTCGCTATAAATCTTCTTAGTGATATTTAAAAATGAAATTTCAACCACAAACTCTTTTAGTTATAGGGTGAGCCCCATCGACTTTGCCACAATCCTTAGATGGTACAGTTGCGCTAAGTTCACGTGGATAAGCCCATGATCGACGATTAGTAATAGAATAATCTTATCTATTCGTATAAGTAATAAAATTGTATTTTTAATAAAAATATTTAATACTATTGACGGATCGAACATAAATTTTCCGACGCCAATAGATAAAAATTATATATGTACATTACCTATATCTTATCTTTTGTACAATTTAAGTGTCCAATATTATCAATATAATAAAAATCTAATGATAGGTTATAATAGAATCTATACCTATATTATTATGGACAACTAAAATAAATGTCAACTCATTGAATGTGTCATGACACATTGAATTATATCGGTTCTTCAAAATTACTAAGGCTGGGTAATATCTAGCAATATCTATATATACCAGTTAGTTAATTAGTTATAGTCATATATGTTGAAAATAATAAGCTCAGTTTGATAAATAATAAAATGTCTGTATTTTGTGAATTTTAGAAGAGAATAGAAAACTGTCAGTTATTATTATATTGTTATGTTTTTGTATTTTATATTTTGATTATAGAACATTAACAAAAACGACTATAGAGTTTTTACAATAATATTATATATATATATATATATATATATATATATATATATATATATATATATATATATATATATATATATATATATATATATATATATATATATATATATATATATATATATATATTGTATATAACATATCTTGTGTTGTACTCCTTTCCAGAGAGTTCAACTGAACAAATTATCGACAATACCGTATAACGTTATACTTAATATAAATTAGACGAAGTCTTCTCTAACCCTGATATTGGCAGAAAATCAGCGTCGTCTCTACAGTGGAAGCAATTTAAAAAAAAAAGAAGAAAAGAATATCTAGCAATATCTATTTATTGTAGTTACAATATCTATACATATATTTGCCCAATAACAGATATATTAGATATCGGATATTATCCAATTATAAAAATACGTTAATTTTGTTGCACACTTTCATTGTTTGCACTATCGCTTCGCAATAAGCACTGTTTTGCTTTAATTTAATAAAATATTATTAATATACATATTATGTTAAAATATTTATTAATTATTATATAGGACCAACACAAAAGTCGATTGCTTGGGCACCTCTGTCCCATTCGTGTTTCTACCGTAAAGTAGTTATGTTTGCATGGCTGTGTTTTGGTTTGAAGGGTGAGATATGGCGTGAATTTATAAGGTACAAAGGAATAACATCTGAGTCCTCAGGAGCAACGCAGGGGGGTACAACAGTATACTCTGTTATGTCCATGGTACTGCTCATGTCTATAGGCGACGGTTACCACTTTCCATCAGGTGGGCCGTCAACTTGTTTGCCATTCTAAGTTGTATAAAAAAAACTAATAATTCGGTAGCAGAAATAAAAAAAAAAACAGATAAATTGAGGATCTGCTTGTTTTTGAAGTCGCCTAACTAATTCAGTCATTAATTCTCAGTTCTCATTCTGCCACGGTGTGTACCCATCATTATGGGACGCTAAATCGCTTGTCGTCCCATTTACGAGGAACGCAGGTAGCAAAGCTATAAAAATTAGTACGACCCCCGTTTTATATAGTAGGCTCTGTAGGGGTCACGGGCAAACAAAGAAAACCACTGGCATTCTGACAGCCTTATTAAGGATTAATTTGTAATTCATTCAGAAACTGTTCTCTTAGTTAAGCTGTAAGTGTAAAAAAAATGATAATGATATTGATTAGGCATGAGCAATATGGATACCGATCCGATATCTATATATCGGGTTTTACTGTACTTTAACGGTGGAGTACAGTAGGCCTACCATGAAATGATTTCCGAAATTTCGGGGACGAACGAAACAGAAACTTGATGTTAAAATTACATAATACATGCCGTTTAAAATTATTAAAAATGTTAAAATATCTTTCCTCTGGACTATTAGGATAGGATTTATAATAAAAGAAATGTTAGGCTCCACTTACTGGGTCGATTTCGGTACCAACAAAACACGAAATTGAGCCCGAAAATTCGGAATTCCATTTCATGGTATACCACCAGGTCATCACCTATTTCGATATCGCCCATTGTCGGATATCCACTTTCGTGTATGTTAAAAGTCTGTTATCCAATACTATTTTTGGGTAACAGACTTTTTACATATTCGTTATTGGATCTTTCATTATTGGATATTACTATAAAAAAATTCAAAATTCAAAATTCAAAAATCATTTATTCATGTAGGACATTTTAGCCGCTTATGAACGTCAAATTTTTGAACGTCAAATATATTACCCATATCTATATCTATATATATATATATATATATATATATATTACCCACTCCTAATATCGATTTTACTCTGTACCTTTCGTACGGTTCACAGATAATTAAAATTGTGTCCTACAAAAAAACCGACTATAATTATAGTAAAACCAATATATTGATTTAAAAATTAAACTATTTAATGGTTTTCGATAAAATTTCTATAAAACCAATCTATTAGTACATATAGCCTTTAATATTATATAAAAAAAGAATTTACAAATCAGTTTACAACTGACGGAGTTATAAGGTAACAAACAAATAAAAATACATTCAAATTGAGAACCTCTTTTTTTAAAAGTCGATTTAAGAGGATGATAATGATATTAATTTTACTTTATACACTTTGTACGATTCACAGAAAGGCTAAAATAATTACGGTTGCACATGGTTTTCTGAAATGAATGAATGCCAAATAAGTTGCGCTGTAACAGTCACTCTATTCCTAAAATCAAAACACTGCAATAAAAACACAGTTACTTTTGTTATTCTAAACATTTGGTCAAAATTTACAATGAAAAATTTTTTCGCTTGTTCTTACTGACGTTTCCCCATTAGGAGATAAAAGTGGAATTTTTTCCATTTGTAGAAAATGACTAAAGAAAGTGACTTTATTAATTTATTACCTCTTGGGGCTCGACTAAACCTAACGCCATAAAATTTAACGTACACTTTGTATTATATAGAATGGAGACAGATAGACGATTTTCTATCTCGGTCACACAAACGAGGTCTGGATTCTAGATCATCATCTTAACCATTATCTGTCTACAGCCGAACAAAAACCTTCCCCATAGATTACCATAAGGAACAGTCCTGAGCCACCTACATCCACTAACTACCTGTAATTCATTTGAAATCGTCACTCCATCTAGCCATCAATACAGGCTGTTGATACTGAGTTTTTTTTTAGAACAATGTATTATTTTTAAGTTTGTTCTGTGTCAGATTTTTATAAGACATACCTCGTATTTTTTTTTAAACTTATTATTTTATATCTCAAATACATATATGTTTTATTACTGCGTACTGCTATTTACAACATAAATAATACACTGAACCCTTCCTCACGAACACTACAACCTACATGCCTACTTCGTCATATTTTATACTTCGGTATAAAACACGGTGAGATCATTAGGGCGCCATCATTGGGCGACTTAATATAATTAGTGGTCTCCAATAAAACAGATTTTATTGTTATTACTCTATAGCTTCATTTATGTACATTTGTTAAGTTATTTACAGAGTCGTTAAATTATTGCATGTAGGTATGTGATTATATCAATTTGCTGCGTTCTTTATAATATAAAGTAGTACTTGTAGCCTTACTTCAGATTGCAGCTGAAAATCAGTGCTTTGCTTTTAAGTAAAACTATCACTAAGCTGTAGCCTATTTGGGTCACTGTGACACACTTGGTGAAAACATATTTCCATATTTCATCTTTTGTTTTATATTTAAAAAAATGTAAATAATCAGATTGTATAAACTCATTTGTTAATTTACGTGTGTCATAAATGGCTCAAATAAAGTGTTTATCTATCTATCTATCTATAATTAAATTGTGTTCCACAAACAAACAGACAATTCAATTATGGCCAAACCAGTTATTTTGATTTAAAAACTAAACTCCTGAACCGATCTTGATAAAATTTTTATGGGACCAACCAGTGAGTTTGTCGTTTTAGACAAACAAAGAATCTTCCAAAACGGTTTACAACTAACAGAGTTATAAAGTAACAAATATAAAAAAGTAAAACCGTGTTTGAGAATCTATTTATTTTTGAAGCCAATAAAATGTGTTTAAGGTAAAACACCGCAGTGGAAGCGTTTTATAAGAGAAAGATTCTGTCTGTCGAGGAGGACTAACCTAGCATCGGCTTCGTGAGTTTTTCTGCTGTAGGTGATCGGCAGTTCTTCCTCAACTCCTATATGCACGCACACACAAATTCTTACAGGTTCTTATAGGCACATACAGTTTAAAACACACAAATTATATTTATTTTACAGGAGCAAGCGTCCGCGCACACGCCTCCTAAACTAAGGTGGGAGAAAAATAATAATGACGGATTCCAATATTGTATTACATTATATTGTAAACAATCTGTGTTTTATTACAAAGGGATTAAGGCTTTATTTTGAACAAAATGTTTGAATTCATCATAGTTCAGTCCAATAACGCTTATTGGGATCCCAATATCAAATCCCAGCCTCCAGCAAATCTCTGAATTTATACATTCATGTTTGGATCTTTTAAGACTTGGAGGGAAGACTGACAGCTTCAATACTAACAATTTACTTTTCTAGGTCAACTTTCACGCGAGCCCTTAGGAAACCTTCGTAACCGATTCCTAGTACATTCATCATGACAGGTCAACTGACCTGATTCCATCCTCAATTAATGTCCCACACAACAAGGCTGAAAACCCAACAGCGAACCCAAAGAGGTAATCTTCCATTATCATCTATTTAAAAAAAAAAAACTAAACACTAACTAATAATGAAATTGAAATACTAAGCTTAAATATAGGCTTGTAATTTTTTTTATGCAACTTGGAATGGCAAACAAGCCTACGGCCAATCTGATAAAAAATGGTAACGGTCGCCTATAGACATGAGCAGTACCATGGACATAACAGAGTATACTGGTTCGCCCATGATACCCCCATGCGTTGCCATTCCTGAGGACTCAGATGTTATTCCTCTGTACCCTGTTATTTCACTGTCACATCCCACCCTCGAAACCAAAACAGCCATGCAAACACAACTACTTCATGGTAGAAACACGAATAGGACGAGCAACTAAGCAAATGACTTTTGTACAAAATCTCCCTCTCGTAAAATAATATGTAACTAAAGTCTGACTCAATCTTGAAATAGTTACAATACAGTACAGTAAATAAACGAAATACAATTTATCTATAGACCTTATAAATTATGCAACCAAATAAAAAAGTAACAATCTAAAGAAATAATTCTACAAGTTACTTCTGACGTTTGAACTCGGACGCCTTCACTGGACAGGTGGGCCGTTGACTGAGCAAAAATAGAATCAAAATCAATACAATACTTCGCAAGATAGCACTAGTGATGTTCCCATAGATAAGATATTTCTATCGACAATCAATCATCTGTCTATAAACTTTTATTATCTATCTAAGGAAAAATAACATATTAATTGGGTTTAATAAAGAGTGACAAGTTTTTATTGAAATAAAATAATCAGTTTTTGTCAGTATTTACTTAGTTTTTATAACAAAAAAGATCACACATTAAATTAAATGCAGACAATTTGAATCGCATAATGACCTATCTACACGATTCCCAAATGTTCTTAATTTTTCAACATACTTGTATTTCCAAAACAGACAAAAATATAAAAGTAATTTGAGTCGACAACACCATAATTTTTTAAAATAAATAAATAAATGTTTATCTTGTTATAAACAGTGCATATTCCTTATAATAGTGTACTATGCTGTTCGGGAACTTTATGATTAATTAAATATTTTTTTTAAATACCAGATTATTGTAACTTAAAAAGTTATGACAGTAAATAATTACAGCATAAGTAATAAAACAGTGTAGATTAAAAAGAATTATTTCTTGTTATTAATACCATCATGAATTACAATATACTATTTAAACATTATACCATAATTATATATTATATTATTTTTAATTTATATAATGTATAATTTTTTTAGAACGTTGACTTTTCGCAGCCCTATGATCCCATAGGGATGTCAACTAGCTGTAAGTAATCGGCCATTATCTGTATCGATTCAACTCGCCATCGTTCTGTCCACCGACTCACAATCTATTCACTATTTAACCCTATCCGTATCGGCATTTTTTCTGTACAACATTTCTATTGCTGTCTTTTCAAATCTCCATTACGACACCAGTACTTTAGAAGCAACAATGTACACTGTTTTATTTAGAAAGTACGCTATTTTCTTGTAACCTACTAAGCATTTAAAAGTGATTTTAACATCGTTTCACCTGCAAAAGGGATCTAATGAAGCGATCGCCTATAATTGATTCGGATTTAGTCGTTCTTTGCATATTTCTTTATCTCCCTCTTTGCATTTCGAGAGACATTTATTTTGATGTATATCTACTGCAGTAAGGCTGATCATTGTTGAATGGATATTTTTATCAAGCTTTAAATCTTTACGTAATAAATGGTGTTTTATATTTATGCGTATGTATATAAATAAATAAATATTATTTTCTTTGTTTGGTTAGTAAACGATGAATGATTTTGAGTTTTTATGTTAGTCGTATGTCGAAAGTTTTGGTAAATTATTAATTAAATTTAAATCGAACAACTTTCGAAAATATGTGAATAGTATTGAAATAACACAGCGAACTATTTGTAGGTGAATTCAAAAGAGTTTTTGGTAAAAATATTTATCACCAAATTTTGCCACCAACCCTTAACCGATTATTCCAATTATTTTTACAATCCATGATGTTTATTTCAATATTTAATTATGTAACGATTGAAACTGTCATTCACAAAGCGTAACTCTTGACTTCAAACTTTGAACTGAAAACCCTATTGTAACAGCCCTATATTAATATACCACTTAGGTACCTAATTGCTTCAGGGTTATCAATCACTCAAATAAGTACTACGCATATAACTATTATCAATAATACCTTAATCCCATGTGCCAATTTTCCAATAAATTAAAATAATGACTATTTATTTTTACTATTTTTTACATTTATATTAGTATTCAAGATTAGATTAAAAATGTTCTGAAATAAGTCGGATTTAATATTAAACTTTATACCCATTTACCTGTTATGATATGTACATACCTACGATAAGTGATTGAAAAGTGACAAATATTATGTAAATATCCTAGTCCTACTGGTATAGATAGAACAATAAAGATTATGATAAAGTGCTATCATAAATAACAATTAAATTTTGTGCCATAAACGTGACTTCAACCACGCCAAACTAGTTATTATGACTTAAAAACTAAACTACTGATGACTGTATGATCGGTTTAAATATAATATATCGGAGGGGAAAGGGATTGTTAATAATGGAGACTGAGAATCCCATTGCTAGCAATATACCCAACCAGGTCGACCTCCTCGCGGTTCCCCCTAAAACTATCATGGTTAATTCCTGATGAATTTATCATGATGGGCTAACTGACCTGTTTTCATTCTCATCTATCACCCTTCACCGGTGCTTCGCCAGCGTATCCCGTTAGCGCAGGCGGGGTTACCGTTACCATACCATTTTCACCCATAAAAAAAATATAGTATATCCTTTCAGATAAATAAAAGAATCTATTTATTAATGTCTAAATCGATACACCTATTTGTTATATCGGAATTCTGAGGTAACCAAAAGAATAAAACAAAACGAGTTTAGCTCGGTATCACAGTGCAGTCTATGATTTGCATGGTCAACTTCATATCTTTTTCTTCATACATATATATATATATATATATCAAACTTTTTGGGTACAAATAGAATATCCGGAATTTTGACGTCAAGCGATAAAATTCCTTTTGCCCTTCATAACGACTCACTTATGTAAGAGTGGATTTTCGCATCTACTTATGTCCAAAACGAAATACAGAAATCGACTTAAACCAAAATTTTAGATTCAGGTTTAAGATTGAATCTGCCCAAAATTTCTCCTAGAATAGCTAGCTACTATTTGCCTTAAAAAACAAGCACACTCATGACATTCAATTGACTAATATGAATATAAATCATCGTCATCAGAACCAGCCTACTACAGTCCACTGCTGGACGTAGACTTCTTCCAAAACAACAAATAATAGAAATACGTAACATTTATCTATTGCTCTTTCGAACTCCTGTTTTAATAAAACACCTTATTCGTTTTGTTAATAGCCAGTTTTTTAAAGAATTCGCCGTGATTTAGAAAACTTAATAGTACCTACTCCTATAGATTCCTCGTGATTTTTAATTCCACAAAATAGAACATAATATTAAAATAGATGCCAAAAAAGTCCATAAATAAAAGAGCGGTCAGGAACTAGTGGCGAAGTTTCAGATACACCTACCCTACATTTTAGCGTCTATTAATAAGCGTTCACTAATTAACAAGCAATCAAAGTACAAAGAGAGACATTCAAAACAATACGCGACCAATTAACTCACAACTTCCAAACTCGAAATCGGGGTTAACTCGACAATTGTGGACTGTTTGAACGCAAAAAGTACTAGACAAAGGAATAAAAGGGGTTAAAAATATGGCGGGCCCAATTAATTAAAGACAATTAGCTGCCCTTCCTGTTGTAACAAAAGGTAGAAAAAGTCTGCCCATTAATTACTGAGCGGAGGGGAAAACAGGAAGGTACGCGGAAACTCCCTTTGTTTTTAGAGGAATCTATTTATTTAAGTAGACTCTGATAGACCGGCCGTGTTGCTGCTTTGTTAACGCCATAATTGCGTCGAATGTTGGTATTGATTACTTTCTAAATACTTAATCCATTTCTATATCTACAATTAGTTGGAAACTTAACGTAATTTCGGCGTTTTAAAGCTATTTAAAAAAAAAGAAGAGGTTCTAAATATGTCTATATTTTAATTATTTGTTTGTACAAGCTTTATTTTACATTCATATTTGACACAAGAGTCAGATTGTAGAAAACTTACGAGCAATATACACAAACGGATTTAAGAGCATTCGTAACTTTTGCTTGTTAAAGTGTGACAACTAGTGATAAGTAATCTAATCCGCTGCTGATCATTAGAGACGTTTTAACAGGAACACTGCTGCCCATCCCTTGCCCTCTCTTAGTTACCTCTTACAACATCCACGGGAAAGGAAGGAGTGGCCTATTCTATGCCGGGACCACAAAGTCATTTTCTTTATAGTCTAATATTCGTGTTAAATATGAATGGGCATTAATTCATTTGCCATGCAGTCCCGCCATAGAATGGGCCACCCCTTCCTTTCCCGTAGATGTCGTAAGAGGCGACTAAGAGAACTTATTAATGGAGAGTTCCAAAACCTAACTTCTGTTGCCAATTCGCCTGCTAAACGTGGTAAATATTAGCAAAACTCCCCTTTTGAGGGAGGCCTATGTTCAGCAGCAATCAGTAGACGGCTGGTATTATGATGACGATGATGATGATGAATTTTATTATAAAACAAAATCTACTTGTGATATATACTTATTAATTTTTATTATCTATACTTATAATAAATCATTCTGTACATGAAATATATTTCCAAAATAACTATCAATTTGATCGATACTGATGCCAAAAATGCAATTAAAATTTTTGTCTGTCTGTCTGTATGTTTGTTATAGAAACAAAAACTACTTGACGGATTTTAACGAAATTTGGTACAATTATTCTTCGTACTCCTGGGCAGGTTAAAGTATACTTTACATCACGCTACGATCAATAGGAGCAGAGCAGTGAA